GCTTCCACTGTCTAGTATTAATTCCGTCAGAACTGTTTGCGTTTAATTTTAAACTTCTCAAAACTATACGAACATCTGTATTGTCAGCACATTTAAAGTACAGCTGACCTCTGAGGTCATCTGTACTGGTGTTCGAATATTCTGATAATGCTTTTGCTTTCAACACTGGGACACATGAGGGAGCCGCATTTACGAAATGTTTGTTCAATTTGTCCAATGGTATATCAATGAGTGAGATTGTTGATCTGTCCTTGCCCACACCAATGTTTCTAAGACTGTTACGGATTTGATTAGCATCAGTTTGTGCTTTAAACAGTACATTGTAGTATCACGGCTCATGTTTTGGTTAATTTATTACGCAATTTTGTATATTGAAATTTGAGATTAGCCGTTTTTTCTCGGTATTGTTTTTGAAGTCACGATGCTTCATTACTCTACGATGGTGCTATTCAATTTCATTACTCTACGATGGTGCTGGCGGTCGCGTAACTCTGGATGTTTTGCGAATAAATCATTTAACGATATTATTTAACACACGAACTTTGTGATGTATAGAAGTTCGTTAGTACACTAAAATGGGAAAGGAAGTTGGAGAATGTCTAGGGTGTGTTTGTTTTCGTGTATGTTTGGGAGGGTGTCGAAGGATGTAGTGATGGGGTAGGATGCGTTTTCGGAATTTCGGGTTATTTATGAATTGTTGAATTTGGGTAACTGTGGAATTATGGAGGTAGGATAGGATATGAGATATTTTGTGGTCTTTCCTGAGGTCGTTTTAGCGTGTGGATGGAAGATGAAATTGAGTACTCTACTTTATTGCTTCTTTGGTAAGTTGTGTACAAGTTGGGATGGTCGTAGGAGAGGATTGGACGGATGTAGGTATTGAAGGTCTGTATATTCTTAGGAATTGGAATTGAAAGATTTGAAAGGATAGATTAGAGAGCATTGGTTAGTCATTTGGTTTTGGTGATAGTGTTTAGGATGTGGTGGGTCTAAAGAAGTCTGTTGGAGAGGGTGATACCGAGGTATTTTATGTGGGACTATTAGGGGATATGGGTATTTATTGTCTTGAGAGGTGGGTTTTGTATGAGAAGACGATATATTGAGATTTGGAGGGGTTAATGGTAATGAAGTTTTGGGAAGCCCAGAGGTAGAAGGAGTCGAGAAAATATTGTATGTTTGTGAGGGTTTGGGAAAGTATATGGTAGGAAGCCAGGAAAATAAGGTCATATAGGAATCTCTCTACTCCTGGAAGGGATATCATTGGTACACAAGGAGGAAAGGAGTGGGGAATGTACTGCGCCCTATGGGACGCCGGCTTGGATGGGGTAGTTGGGTGATATTTTGGATTGGCATTGACGTAAAACGATCGGTGGGTTTGATAATTGAGGAGTAGAGTATTGTGGTTGTAGGGGCGGGATTTTCATTAATTGGATTGGGTAGGAGACCGTATGATACGCTTGTGCTAAGTCGGTGATGATGGTAGGGATTTATGGGTTATTATGGTTATGATTAATGGATTAAGTTACACAGAGCGTCCATCAGAGAATCCAAACGGGAATGGGTTAAGGATTGAGGTTGGGCGGAGGATTACTTTTTCAAAAACAATTCTCAGCATGTAAAGGAGGCTGATGGGTCTGTAGTTTGAAGGATGCAGATGGTCCTTGCCGGATTTGGTATTAATGGACTCACGGGTGGATTTCTAGATGGTTGGGAAGTAGGATGGCTTTAAGCAGGTATTAAGGATAAGGGTGTTAAGGTCTATGGCGTTCTTATGGAGATTAGGAAGTCGAGTAGGAAGTACTCCATCGGGTCCGGAGGATTTAGTGTAGTCCGTCTTTGTCAGAAGTTGTCGGATTTCTACGTTGTTCGTCGTCCAGGTCGTTTGCTGATGGGGTGGTAGGTGAGGAGAACGCTATTAGGGATCGGGGTGTCACGGGGAAGGTAGCGGTCGTTCAGGGTTTGGGGAAGACGTTTGCTGTAATTTGAGGATCGAAGGTCAGGGTGTTGGGTGGGTAAAATAGGGGAGATTCGTGTAGGGGTGCTTTGCATTATTTTATGAAGTTGCCTGGTATGCCTGATATACATCATTTTATGAAGTTGGCTTGGGCTACTTTTGTCTTTAAGTATGTTTTTATAATTGTTGTTTCGTAGGATTGTAGCATAGTCTGTATTAGTCTTTGTGTCTGTTTTAATAGTGATTTGTTTTCGTCACGTTTGTGTTTTTAGTATTTGTCTTTTTAATCTAATTGTTTGTATTATATCGTCTGGGATAGTTGGGTGCATGTTCTTGGTGAATGTGGTTGTTCTTTTGTAAGTATGGAGGATTTGGTGATTGTTTGGATGTTAGATGGTATGTGGATCTTTTTGGTTAGGATATGTTTGAAGGATTTCCAGTCGGTGCTAGGTGTGTTGCGAGGTTTGAGGGATGTGAAGTAGAAGTGCAGGTAAAGATTATGAGGAAATGGTCGGATATGCTATAGAGGTCATATTTAGAGTAAGGTGTGTTGATGATGTGACATAACGATAGTAATCTGAATATTTTGCACTCTTGTTGTATTGAGAAGAGATTAAATAGATAGATGAACCATTTTCTAATAGGTATCCATGGAGACACCGGCAAGGTAAAATAAATAAGATGTCAGGGTAGAAGGGGACCGTGGAGCAAGCCTGATGGATATGCGTGGAAGATAACGTCGATCGGGTCTAAAAGAATGAAATGATTATTAATGGTGGAATGTTTGTCTGTGAATGAAGTAAGATTGTCACTAGCTACGCGGAGTTGTGAGGAGCAAGGTCCCATATTGCCGGCGTTGTACGGGCGATAATGGTATTGGTACACTGGAAAGGACAAAATACGAAGAAAGATCTTCGTGGCGACTTCAACCCGAGAAGATGAAGAGTGCGCAAAAATCAGTGACGTATTTTGAATAAAAACTATCTTCAATAATTTTCGGAAATAAACACAAGTCATGACTGATTTAAAAAAATACGAGCTCAATTGAGTTATATAGAATAATTGATATAAAATATCAAATGCTGATTGAAATTCTGATTAGTGCTGAATATAGTTGTATGCTGAATAGTAACGTTTAATTCATTAAATGTAGATAAATAGAGGATTTTCCAGAAAAAACTTGCCTGTTCGTACGAATGGCACGACAACGAATTGCAGTGGCGGCATGGTAAGTAAAATTACGAATCGAACCCACGTAAATTTTACTGATAGAGCAAGCAGGGCAAGATTTGGAACATCAAACCTGAAGACACAATGTGGATTTGAGAGGAGTGTATGGCAATATCTAGAATGTCGTGATGGGTTACGTTTACTACGTGGATGGGTTCGGGGGATTTTTGTTTGGATTTATGGGTTATTATCTATTACGTCATCTAATCGTAGTCCTGTCGGGTTGATAGGCACGTAGCTGCATGATGTGGATATGGAGTTGAGGTCACCAGCAAGGATGAAAGGGTATGGTAGGTTTAAGAACTGGGATATCTGGTCTTCTGTATGGCGATATAACTATTACTAAGGATGGCGGTACATTCAAAGGATGTGATCTGGGGGAGTTGGTAGAGGGAGTGTGGTATGGGTCGTCGGAAAAGGATAGCTGTCCCGCCACCGGGGGATGAGGTTCTGTCATTCCGGTTGGTGATGTAATTTTTGATGGAAAAGGAAGTGATAGGAATCAGCCATGGCTTGTGGTACTCTCGAAGGAGTTATCTTTCAGGAATTGGGTGAGGATAGTTTTTTTCTGGTTAATTCCACAACGTGCGTTCCACGAGAAGAGAGTTAGGAATCGGAGTATGGGAGCCATGAATTGAGGCATTCAACGAGTTTTAGACCTGCAATGATAAGTTTTGTAAGGGTGTCCTTTGGGAATGTCGATAAAGGTTCGAAGATGGACTAGGAATTTTTACGCCTGAAGGAAGAATAGGTTTTTGAGGTTTTGGGCGGTGTCTTGTGGTTATGGGGTCGAGATTGAATGACGGATATTACTGAAGTATAGGATGAGTTTTGGTGTTTAGTTGAGGAAAGGATTGGTTTGTGAACGTTAGGGAGAGTTGATTTTTTGGAGTTGTCGGATGGCTCTGGCATGGGTGATGGATGGCAGTATGGATTAAATGGGGCCTGGTTTCTTTCATAATTGTAGCATTTAGGAAAGAAATTTGTGGTATCTTGGGAAAGGTATGGGCATTCTTCTGCGGGTAGGGTTAGGGCGCAGAGCACAAAAGCCACCTGTCGCCTACAATATGTCTTAGCATGATATAATTTTTGGCACCTCTTGCACTGAGGTATCCTGTCATTGGGTTTGTTGTTCTCGAGTGTTATTTTGTTGTAGTTTATGAAGTTTAGTTTCTTTTTTGTCTCTGTCATGTCTTTCTTAGTCGTCTCGACAGTGTAAATACCAGGTGGCATAAGTGTTCCGTCTCCGTCGCGTTTGTTCATTTTAGTTACGTGAAAAAATGGAATGTCGAGGTCTTGAAGGTTTTTCTTAATTTGTTGGAAGTTGTAGTCCGGTGGCAGTCCCTTGATAGCCATTTTGCTTCGGGTCTCTTTGGTCGCCCTATTAGAAGAGTATGATACTCTCACAAAAAATGAATATTTAGATCAGTTGTAGAGATTTGGTCTAGCCGGTCGCGTGTTTTGTTTTGGGCAGTTATGGTCTGTTGCTGAACCAAAGTCATGGCATGGTATATTTAGCAGTGAGTTGATTACTATAGTGTTTCATCAAGTCCATTTAGTTCTGTTGGGTTCAGAAGTGAATGTAGGTCTATTATAATCGGTCCAATTCTTTTTCTCTGTCGGGTCTGTTGCTGGGGTACGGGTTGGGAGTAAGAATTTGGGACGTGATACTTTCATTTGAGGGTGGGAATGTAGGGTCGAATTTGTCTTCGTCAGTTTTTTCAGGGGGTTTAAATGTGTTATTGATTTCAACAGTTTTGGTGGGGATGATGGAGGGGTTAACAGGATCGTTGAGTTGAGGTGAACCCGTCAGCCATCAGGAATTTTTTGAAGGTCCTGTCAACGTGTCCACGGCCACGGTGCGGAGGGTCACGCGTGCGTTCGAGCTCAATGGTTGGCTTCTCCCTCCAGTTGCTTCAGTTTCGGCGTCCATGTCCTTTTCCGTTTCCGCCATTTCGTCGTCCGAGTACGGCAGCGGCCGCAGCCGTGCCTGCTCCGAGAAGCGTCGGTTACTTTCAAGCAGCGTCCGGCGACAGATCTCCTGGAGCGCCTTAGAGAAGCCAAACGTGGTGTACACGCTGGCACAATGGTACTCGCTGGCTCATCTTCACCTTATCAGAGATGCCTCCTTCGAAGTGTTGTCAATGGCACAGCTGTAAACAATACAAGATAATTTACCAGAGTTACAGCGAAGTTAGCAGTTACAAGTGAATGCCTAGTGGTTAACAAGTGCAATTCTACAATAAACAAGTTTTTCTGTTTCTCAGAACTTACTAGTAATGTAACAAACAAATGTAACAAATAACAAATGAAAATGAGCAGTATTTTGTTTCAAGTCTACAGATATCTGTAGGCTTGAACATTTACGATTACAAGTAATGGTATTTTTATGTTTTTGCGTTCAAAGGTATTAGCTGTTCAATTAGGGAATATCCGTTTTATCCCATACGTGATAGTGAATTAAAATTTCAATTAGATAATGTTAAGGGCCTTTTGCTTTCGAATTTTCTCCAAAACGCACATTTTGTTGCCTCTGGATCCAATTGCGAAGAATAGAAGAATAAAATAGAAATGTAAGAATAATATCTAAGAAGTATGAAGAAGGAAAGTTGAAGAGTAATCGCTGAAAAATGGAGTAAAAATAAATGAAGAAAATGTATAATCTATACAGAGAAGTCTGAAATTGAAGTAAAAAGAAAGGGCGGATATTTTATGTCGATTTACCATCTGATAAATATGATCCTTTAAAAGTTAGTAACTATATTCCACTATCAGATTGTGTAAAACTTAAAAAATGTTATATAAACGTAAAAATATTTTTAAAAAAGTTTCAATGTGAAAAAAAGGAGATTATTATTGTTGTTTTGAATATCCTATTGCAAAATATGATTCTTGCAATATCCTCTCGATATTACATCATCGAATATCAAAATATATGAACAATTTTTAAAAGTATCTATTAACGTCTATCAAATTAATAATTCTTGTATCGAATTAAATTATTATAGTAAAAACTGTAAAAACTTAGAAATCAATGTTAATATATTAATGTTGTAGGATCATTGTGTAGATATAAAAAATATAAGTGCACTATTAAAACAGTGGCCCGGCGATGCGCTACAGCGGCCGTGTACTTTCGCCCATTTTCTTCAATTTCGTTACTTCAGATTTTCCTTCAACAAACGACACTTTAATAGTATTATTTGCAGAAGATTCTCTATTATACAGTACAGATAGAAATCTTGAGACTATAATTACTTTGCTCCAAAATCATTTAAATCAGATAAATTCATGGGCTAAAAAGTGGCATATCAAATTGAATACATCAAAATTCAATGCAACTTTTTTCCTTACGCAGATATAATGTACCAACTCCTCTCTAATATCAAAATGAACGAATAATATGACTTTCATCCACCGAACCAATAAAATATTCAGGAGTATTAATGGACAGAAGATGCCATTAGCGAAATAACATATAGCCTATAGAATTTCGTTAGCTAATAAACGATAGCATCTGCTACTACCTCTCGTTAAATACTCTTCACTAAGTATACTCACTAAATTATATATTTATAAAACAATGATTCGGCTTATATCTTATGCTTGTCCAATTTGGGGATCAGCATAAAGCAAACCATAAAGCAAACATTAATAAAATACAAATTTTTCAGAATACCTGTCTAAGAACAATTATTAAAGCCCCTTGGTTTATTTCAAACATACATATTGATTCTGAATTAGTATACTTCCAATTCAAAACTTTTTCTTCAAATTTCGGCAACATTTTGCCACAGAATTAATAATATTGCATCTGCACTTCATTTTGAATTTGGTAAGCATAATTCCAATCGTAACCGACTAAAACGCAAATTACCAAAACAATTCTTCGACCCTCCATAACCTCCTTTCGAATCTTATTAACCACATGAAATAGTTTTGTTCTTGATGCGCGAGCTACATTTTTATAGCTCTCATTTTCTATATTTCCTACTGGATTTGTTCGTCTTCTGCTGCCAAAGACCTAACTGGCCAAAAGCATGGATATTCATTAAAAAGTTCCCTTATTACACCCGCATGACATACGGGTATGTCACACAAGTACTCTCCATAATTGACATTAAAAGACGTGGCCAATAACAAAGCTCACAAGGCCTACCTGTTATCCATTTGTTTGAAAGATACCACAAAGAATTGAATTTTCTCTCGCCAGCACTATGTACGTACAACCGTACTCAACATTGAAGGCTGGCGGAGCGAAGTCGCTACGACCGGCAACGCGTGGCCACAGGAGACCACCACGCATGTGTCGAGCGCCGTAGCAGGACGGCGCAGCACCGGGCCCAGTGGTGGGCACAGATGGTGCCGAGTTCAGGCCCAGCTCAGGGGAGAGGCGCCTCGCCGCACGGGAAATGTCCGGCAGTCTTTGTAGAAAAATATTGAATAAAGTGTTGATGCACAAACTTTCATTTACTGAACTTACATTCACTGAATACTTCACTAAAACTAGCACTACTAGTTTATTGCTTTGGCATAGGTTTTTTAAATTTTAAATTCTCGATGTGAATTTCTGAGAGAATGTTGCGGCATTTTAAATCCTTTTCTCTTATTATACATTTTCTCTGTCATCTAATTTATATGACCTTTCCTGACGTGCTTGCTGACATTACACTTGACTTTATGACGTGACATTTCTTTACATGTCTGACTTCGTAATTATGCAAACAAAGTGCTGTTGCTGCAACTGACAAAGATCTCTACGCCAATTCGCGGTTCTCGACGTCATTCTTTCTCCCACTTTACGTCACAATCGCTCTTCACATTTCTTCTATAAAATGAGAAGCATTCTAAGCAGCTTTTTCAAACAGTTTTTTTCCCAAAATTCTTTTCTACGTACAAATGGAAAACTAAGTTACCATTTTGACTAAATAATTCTAAAAAAACTTAATATGCCAATATTGTATCTCAGCTTCTGTATCGACTTCCATTTCGATCTGATTTTTCGTCCAGTTTCTCTAATACTTCGAGCAAATGCTGAATTTGCTGTTTCATAGGCGTGCGCAACCTAAATGACGACAGGGGGACCTACATTTCTGGGTCCCTCTCTCCCCCACTGGACTTCCTTTTCTTTTAAACATTTTTTTATTTACTAATGATATATTTTACTAGTAAATAAATTAAATGTAATACAAGGAGAATTAAATAATTTGAATAATACAATTTATACTGATAGCTACTATTTTTCTAGAACAATTTTCCCTAATTTTCTCCAGTTTTCCAGTTAATTCATTAATTTATTCATAATCTATTATATCAATCAAATAGAGAGAAAGGTGTTTGAAAGTTTGCATTGACAATATTATTATTTTTCCTCTTCATCGTGACTAAAGATATTATGGGTCAGCTGAATCTACTCCAGGTTGCAACCAGCTAAGAAGCAGACCTAGGGGCAGTCAGTTCCTCTACAATACTTTGCGCAAAATGTGGGTTGTTCCAAATTAAGAAATTTGTTGCACTTCCCAGTCTTTTAAAAAATTTATGGGAGTTTAGCCAAGTTCTTACATAAATTTTGCGGAACAAATTACAGAATTCCGATGACTATCGGTACGATTAGTTTTTATCCCCCACATTCGACTGATCTCGATTTCCAAACTTTGTATTTATTTATCTCTTGCAAACTTTGTGTACATTTGAAGCTGAAGGCCACAATTTGCCTGGAAATGTCCAAATCTCTGACGTTTACATTGGATTACATGAGACATGATTCTTTTCCGAATTCTGATAACACTGTTCAAAAAGCGGTTAAGTTTGAAAATTTCCTTTCTTTGATAAGTATTTTCTAAATTAATTACACATACAGGTAGAGGGCATTTGTCTTTATTATAAAGTCTTGCTACTTTAATTACTGGGAATTTTAGTCTTGTCAGTTCCTGGAGTATTTCACTTTCCGAGTACGTAGTGGGAGTGTCCTTCATTACTATGGCTAACGTTTTTACAGAAGGATCTTTAAAAGAATGGAAATCTATTTTATCAGTTTTACAAAATTTTCTAAAACATTTATAATCACTTATGGAAGTAAATGAAATTTTAATTCCTTTTTTCTCCTGTTTGGTTGTGACGTCGTTCTTAATGTTCTTTTTAATATCATCTATCAAGAGTTACCTGTATTATGCACTATAATTAGAGGTATTTTGATAATTGGATCGTTCATAGGTTCTTCATCAGTCTCTAATGTCCCTAAAAGTTTATATCTACTTGAAACAGGAATATTGTACCTTAGCGTTTCCTCTTCTGGCGAGTGACATCTTTTGTTAGTGCTCCTGCGTACCTTGGAGCTGGGGTTGTTGTGGCTGTGATTGCTGTTGCGGAAGCGGTTGTGGAGGCACATGATATTGAAAAAAAAGTTGAGAGAGTTGCATTTCTACCGTTTGTTGCTGATGTTGGAGGTGTTGTAGTTGTTGTTAAAGATGTTCTTGCTGTTGAAGTACTGCTTGATTTGGGATGGTTTGCACATGTTCGCAGTTAAACGAGTTTTCACCACCACTTTCACTATAGACAGCGTTCATTGAGTTCCGAATTAGTTGCCCCGTAACGGCACTTGTGGCCATTAACTAATGTAATTTGATTTGTTGGCTTTCCTATAACTAAAATATAACACTTTTTCTAACGTGTTACTGTTCGCACCGCTTACACGAACGACACTGGCACTGAGCGTTATCACACTGATCGCTGCAGAAAGCTGCCAGAAAGCGATAAGACTGAGATACCTCGGACACGAAGCGTTCGCCTCGGCGGCTCCAACCGGACTGACAGCCGATCTCTTCATGTCGATGGAGTTACTTCGAAGCGCTGTAGCAAATCTGCCATAGAGTTCTTTTCATTTCCACTGCTCAATGCGGTCCTCAAGTTTCGGAAAACTTGGATTGTGGACTTCTTGGAGCAGATTGAGGTGTGTAGCCGTGATATGGAGCACAGATGACCGTCATGGACTCGTTGTTGATGAAATCATTTCTGAGCTTTTTTTCTCGCTGGCGGTGCATAACTCCAAGACACAGTCCAAGTCTTCCATGGTATCTTGAAAGACATAGCCTTTCGGGGATCTTCGAGAATGATGCATACGATATTTTGATAAAAGTTTTCTAACTTTTCTATCGAATGCTTGCCGAGCTGTCTCAGACCATTTAACAACTCCAAATGTACGTGATGCTGGTGAGAGAGCCTAGGTGTTAACTCCTGTAAATTTGTTTCTCGGATTAATACAGGACTTGCACATTTTCGTAACACGAGAGAGAACCTTCCTTTCCACTTTTCTTATTTTCTCATCTACAGTTTCTATGAACTGCTGAAGGTCTATTTACTTATATTCATCGCCAATAAAGAGTTCTTGAATTCTCAAATCTTCGATCAAATGAGGTTCATTCTCGGTATTCTGGACGCAACCTCTCTTTACGTGAACAACTGCACACGTCTCCAAACCAAGGTCCATCCAACAGCTGCTGAAGCTTTCAAGAAGTGTCAGCGTGCGGCGAAGTTGTTTTGGGACTTTAGTATAGAGCTTCATATCATCCATATATAATTGGTGGGAAGTAATCATATTCATAGCCGGACGCATTCAGCATCCTACTCAAAGGGTATAATGTTAGTCAAAACCAGAGCGGGCTTAGGCTATCTCCCTAGAAAATGCCTCTACATTGTCTTGAAAAAATAACACTTCATTTGAAATATTTTAATGTAATTTATTTTTCTTAAAGACAAAATGCTCTCTACTGACAATATAAAAAATACTTCAATCATTGTCATCATCACTTTAATTATCCCAAAATAGACCTATTTCATTATCATTATTGTCTTTTCCACTTTTACATCAGGTGGTAATTGGTAGATGATGCAATCTCTCTCAACAAGAACTTTGCTTTTCTTTTCTTTGAACCATGCAACAAACGCTTTAAACGTTGTTACTTTCTCGTATACACACATTTATACGGAGTAATACGTATGTTTACTTTCATCAATTTGAAAAAAAACTTCTATGCGTGGTTTAGCCGGTAATGGTGCTCACAGACGGACGTTTTGAAAAAAAAACAAAACTTCTTCGGTATCAGGGGATCCCAAAACGTGTATTCCCGTTGAAATCTCGAAATTGATTTTCCAAAGCATTACAACGTATACCTATATTACTTCGTATACTTACGTACATTACTTCGTATGTACGCAATGTGCCTGTGTGCAACGCCGATTTTCTCCAAAATTGATATTTCACAATTGTTGTAGCTGATGTTATAGTCCCTGGGATTTTAAACCGAAATTTTGATTTTGGGAGGTTCTTTACATGAAACTGCTGAGACATTTTTTTACATTTTCAAAAAAATTGCTCTAACTTTTTTGATTAAATTTTGTTGAATAGTGCAAAGGACTTTTAAGAGAATGGTTTAGGTTTCTTTATCCTTAATATCCTCAATTGAAAAAAAATTGAAACTTCAAAATTGGAGATAGAGATTTTTGCTTCAAACTAAGTCTGTTCTACAAAATTAGTTGTTTAAAAAAGGTCATGTACATTTTTTTAAAAACAAGTAGTTTTTGCGTTATTTGCGATTTAAATGTTCAATTTTTTCTAAAAAAACGCTCCAAATTTATTCTTTAAATATTCTTAACTTATGTGATAAGAGACAAATAAATATATCGTGATAGTCATATTTTCTGGAATTTCTCCGTTTTTTTAAATAAAAAAATTAAAACTTCAAGATTGAAGATAAGATGTTTGCCTCAGACAAAGTCTATTGTACAAAATTAGTTCTTTAAAGAAGTTCATGTACAATTTTTTAAAAAAACAAGTATTTTCGCGTAATGTGCTGCTGAAATTTACAAAAAAAGTTCTCATTTAAATTTATTCATTTTTGTTTCATTTCTATAAATAAAAAATTACTACTCTTCCTGACATTTAATTCACACTCATCGAAGTTTTCATTCCTTCAAAGATCCGTTAAATAAAAATTTATCTGTAGTGTTCAAGAATTTCGACCAATCTATTACTGACCAAGAAATGTATCAAGACTTAAAACAACGCTTTCTTGGAACAAACTGAGAGACCTCGGAATCACGAAAGCAAATTCTTCTGAAATTTCTATCGAATGTCTTGAATGATATTAATGACTACTTTGTAAATGTTTCAAAACCCATACAACCTTCTGTCAAGCATAATACATTACAGAGACTTTCAAGCACTCACCTGCTATCAGGGATAAAATTTTATTTCATACAGTTGATAATCAAGAAGTTAGTAAAATTGTTCTTTCCACTAAAATCAAATGCAAATGGTCCGATGGTATCACAGCCAAACAATTGAAATTTGTTTTACCGTTGCCCTTCCGGCACTCACGCATTTAATTAATTTCTCATTACAAAGGGAACCTTCCTCAAGCGTGGAAGCTTGCTCA